CACTTGGACGAGCTGCAGAGCGATAGACAGTGATCCTCCTACGCTGTAGACTCCACCACCACCCNGGTTGAAACACACGAGCGTCATTATAGACGGCTGCTTGTTTACCGACACGAACTTTGGTGATACTTAGGTCTGCCACAGTCGAGACACAAGTTCTTCTAGTAGAAATGAAGGCGTATCTAGAAGATGAAATGGTATCGGACAGTGAATGTATGCAGTATCTATGCCTGAGTCCAACGTCAACGAGAGACATGATATAATAATTGCTTGTACTACGAGTAGGGATTGGGGTAGTTGGGTGGTGTGTACGTAGCGGCGCGTGAAAAACGCCTGGAAGAAGTAAGAAGACAGTTGACCACGTAGAGGCAATTTCAAATAGTAGGTAGAGGTCAGGGCGAGGCCCAGATCGACAGGCATTGGTTCTACTCTTTGCTCGACTTGAGACATCGCAAAGGACGGAGTGGGTCGTCGACGAGAAGGTTATCGAGCAGCTCTGAGCTTCGGTGGAGGAGGATAGCCGAACAACCACACGCTGGGCGCAACCTATCAGACGATCGATATATGTGAGCTGGCGAAGACCGAATCCACGAGCTTGGTACTTGTTGTACCTTCTCCGCGAGTCGATGCACGAAGGGGAGCAAGTGGGCAAGTTGTGCGAATCATGGTGGCGGGCGAAAGACAGTGCGATCACTAGCTGGGGATTACACTGGTGTTGTGGTACTAGAACCTAAGTAACGAAGGAGGTCGGTCAGCCAGGCAAAAAGACCAAATAGATGCAAGGTGACGAGGAATTCAGAAGCGGGTGAAGGGAGAACGGTATACCAAAGGAATAAGTAATGCAAGGCTGATAACTTGCCGAAAGAGTTATCCCCACTCTCCAGCTCTGCGACACAAGCTTGCGCTTATGATCAGGCGGACGACAGTGACTTAAATTGCGCTGTGGAAGGGATTTGCCGTGGCTGCTGGCGAAAAGGTGATGCTGGATCCACGAGCTCCGTAGAGGCGCATTAGCTGGGTGGATTCCACCATGGCGATATCCTCTTCGGAGGCCGATGCACGAAGGTATGCAAATGGTGGACGCGAAAGGCGATGCCATCATGAAAGTCGGGAGAGTTGAGGATTGCCAATGTTGTGGAATCAGAAGTCAAAAACGTCCGTTCTCCCCTCTTCCCAGCTCTCCAGCTCGAGCTGGCGTCACTTCCTTCTGAATGACGTGAACCAGATGGCGTACCGTGGATTGCGGAGCTTCTTGAGAGCGTATTGGCGTCGTCGAGCTAGGCATGGTTGAAGACGCCGGCCAGGTGACTGCAATGGAAAGGGCGTTTAGGGCTGGCACTGTCGACTACGGGGCTGGAGAAAACTAACTGCCAAGGGGTCTCCTCTATCCATATGCAGAGTTGTTACGAGCGGATAGCTGAGTCGGGCTTTGCAGATGGAAAGCAGATCAAAAAGGATTGTAGGGCTGTTGCAGTGGCAATGTAAGCATCCAGAAGGTCATAAATTCAAGATTCTAATTGTCGTACCACTAGAAACCAGTGGTTCGCTTAAGATTGGGGGGTCTTGTTGGCTGTAGAAACACGAGGTTCGTGAACGACGTTGCCAAGACCAGAACTGGGAGGACATTATTAGTATACAGGAAGGAGATCGACTCGACTGGAGCATACAAGGGGAAACTGCTGCAAGGTTTGTTGCAGCACAGAAGGGGATGACAAGGTAAGGTAGAAAGAATGCAATGGAAGGAGGAACTCACTCAGAAGCGATGCACTCAGATATTCTTGCAATGAAGCCGAGAGCCCGCACGATAACTTTTCGCCTTTGAATCTCCACAGCTTCCAATTGGAGTGAACGTTGAAGAAGGTGGCCTTCAAATTGCGTTTCCATTTCGGGCAGCAGCGTGAGGTCAGGCAGGGATGTCCAGGCGATAGTAGCTGAACGACCCAGGGGAAACATGGGTGACTCATGAAAACCTGTTCGATCAGGGAAGTTCAGAGGCTCGGTGGTGCTTCGAGGTTGAAAGGACCCTCGGACCCCCATTGCCGGCGGCCGAACAACAACAACACCGGACTCATCCAAGAATCAGGTCGCTCTTTGTGATCACCCAGACGTCCACAGTCGATGATGGGTGCAAAGGGTGGGGGAGTGCTGTGAAATGCTCGGGTCTGACGAGACCCCCATCCTCTAGTCCGACAACATGGTTTCTGAACTGCAGAAACTGCAGCCGTCAACCGCCTCATTCGCCTCGAGTTTCCGAATCACCCTCCGATCTTCTGGCTCACAGCTCCACGCCATCTAACGTCAGATTCAACAAACGAATAACGCCCTTGCGACATCCCTCACATCAACGGCGAATGAACTGGCGAAGATCATCAACCAGAAGGACCTTCCCGTTCAGGAGAAGATCAGTCGCGTCAGCAAGGAAGTCCGCAATAGTATCACGCCGTTGCTCGAGGTCGTCAGGAAGGGCGTATCCGGGGTAAGTCTCAGGCATCTGAATCGTCGGCTCCATCTGGCATCTGGATCATCAACACCAACTATCAACGGCGTCAGAAGCGGAGTAAAGTCTTTGTGTGCGTATGACTCTTTTGAACTCATAGCTTTCGCTGAAAACCTCTACGTGGCATGAGAAATACGGCCGGAATAAGAAAACGACACGTACTCCTCAAATCCCCGCTCCGTCTAAACCCACTCGACTTTTTACGAGTCTGTTACGCGGGAGCGTAAACATTTGGGGTGTGTAGAGGTATGCGCACCGGCCAGGGATCGTGGCATAACACCAACTCGCATAATTGGGACCTTGTTGGCCGCCAGGTTGGCCAGAACCCAAAAAAATTGGAGTGTATGCGGCCGGGCTTTGAGTAGAACATGAGGAGATCTGGGTACTACTGCACGCAGCCCGTCGTCGTCCAAACTTTTGCCACCCTAGGAAACTGTCAAGAATATCGCACGACTAAAGCAGTTATCGTACTCACCACCTCGCTCGTCGTATACCTCTTCTGCCCGACGTTTTTTGAACTTCACCTGACCTCTGATTATCGGCCACGTCGAGCATGGATTGCTTGTGGATTGCCATCGTTTCTGCGGTTACCGTACGTCGGAGGCCAATTGACATGCACTAGGGTCTAATGCCTGGCGGCCGAGAACCCTCTATCCCTTGTATGTGCGTCGGTATGTAGTAACAATTTTTTTGAGCCCGTAAACATCGAGGCCGTTGGTTGGCCGTTGGGGTAGCATCGCTGAGTAGAAAGATCACCATGAGAGGTGAGGTGGATTTGTGAGAATTACAGCTAGGCAGGAAGAATAGCCTCAAGTTAAAGCTACGTTGAGATAGCAGCAGCAGACGAGCGCACAAGTAGCATTGAACGCGACGAACTTGCGGTAGTAAGTTTGCTGACGTCACTTCCAATCACGAGTGTCCTAAATTTCCATCTTCCCTGTGCATTTCCTCAATCACTACATAGCTCCCTCGAACATCCTTCTGTCTCTAACCGGGTGACCAGGTCCTTCCCCAGACTTGGGAATGTGTCACCCCATGCACTCTCAAACCCCTCCTTGATAGACCGTTCAACCTCCTGGGTTCCACACACGGTTGAAACCAACCGTCCTTCGTAACGGTATCGACTCCTCGTTGATCGTCCTCTGTTGCGCCTGCTTGATCTCTCTGTGCAACACAAAAAGTCGCCGGTTTTTCGAGGGTTCAATGTTCTTTCGAGAAGGCTGTTGAGCTGAACTCAGAAGCAAACGCTGGGTCTTCGGGAAGGGAATACATCGAACGGGCTTGAGCTGCGTATACGCATGATGGCGTCAGGAGCTTCGCAAATGTGGCGATCGAGATAGACCCCAACGTCCACCCCAGCCATCACTGCGCAAAAGCGCATGCGCGGTATCCGAAGTCTATCCTATCATCGGCGTTGGCCAGTCAGTCCGGGATGGGGAGGTTTATAGTGGTACGACAATTAGAATTTTGAAATTGCAACGTTCACTGGATGCTTACATTGCCAACAGCGTTGCCTTTCGTCGCCCAACCTTTTGCTCTGCCTTCCATCTACAAACAACCCCTACTCAGCCAACCCGCTCGTAACTACTCCGCATACGGATAGAGGATACTCGGTCAAGCCGTAGTCGACAACGTCAGCCCTCAACGTCCTTTCCAACGACGCCAATACGCTCTCGAGAAGCTCCACAAGCCACGGTAGACCATGGTCGCCCGCCTGGTTCACGTCGGTCAGAAGGAAGTGACGCCAGCTCGAGCTGGAGAGCTGGGAAGGGGGGAGAACGGACGTTTTGACTTCATTGAGTTAGTGACTCTCTTCCTTTGTGCTTTCCTCCCTGCTTTGGCCTCCAAATCCTCTTGACCTTTTGCGCTCGGCTGACCGCCTTCGTCTGTTACTCAGGTTCTGATTCCACATCACTGGCAAACTCCAACTCTCCCACTTCCATGGTCGCATCGTCTTTTGCGTCCGCCATTTGCACCCCTTCGTGCTTCGGCCCGCGAAGGGGATATTGCTATGGTGGATTTCACCCAGGTAAGCCGCCTCTACAGAGCTCGTGGATCTAGCATCACCTCTTCGCCAGCAGCCACGGCAATTCCTCACATAGAGCAATTCGGACACTGCCGTCCGCCTGATCATACGCGCAAGCTTGAGTCGCAGAGCTGGAGAGTGGGGATAACTCCTTCGGTAAGTTGTCAGCCTTGCTTTACGTTCTCCCTTCCCCGGCTTTTGAATTCCTCGTCACCTTGCATCTATCTGGTCCTTTGCCTGGCTGACCAACCTCCTCCGTTACTTGGGTTCTAGTTCCACAACACCAGTGCAATCCCCAGCTAGTGATCGCACTATGACTTGCGCAACTCGGGCACTAGTACCAAGCTTGTGGTTTTATCAGTGGCCGTAGGCAAACCTCATATACATAGATCGTCTGATAGGTTGCGCCCAGCGTGTGGTTGTTTGTCCATTCTCTCTCAGAACTATTCGATAACCTTCTCGTCGACGACCCACTCCGTCCTTGGCGATGTCTCAAGTCGAGCAAAGGTTAGAGTCAATGCCTGTCGATCTGGGCCTCGCCCTGACTTCTAGCTACTATATAAAACTGCCTCTACCGTTACGTGGCTAACTGTTTTCTTCCTTCTTCCAGATGTTCCACGCGTAACTACGTACACACCACCCAACTTCCCCAATTCCGTCTCGTAGTACAAGCAAATATTTCTCGTTGACATTGGACTCAGCATATGTACATACTGAATAGATTCACGGTCCGTTACCATTTCATCTCTAGACTAAGATACGCCTTCATCTTTCCTCTGTTTCCAAGTTGTGTCCCTCGACCTTGGCAGACCTATCACCAGAGTTCTTGTCGGGTAAACAAGCAGTCGCTTGGAATATCTCCACACTGAGTAAAGCGGCGATTCGTTTGTAATGACGTTCCAGCCCCGCAGCTCGTCCAGGTGCGATTGCAATTGGAGCTCCTACAGATCCGTCGACCTCACATTTGTCAGTCAGCTCTGTCTCGCCATTTCGCGCCTCTACAAGCCTACACCTTGTGCGAAGGAGGTCTTCGCGTAGTAGTGAAGTGTTTCCTTCATTCAACTCTGCATTGCCATAGTACGTATTGTTGAATCTTGTGCGAAGGAGGTCTTCGCGTAGTAATGAAGGATTTCCTTCGTTCAACTCTGCATTGCCAAAGTAAGCATGTGTTGAATCCGTCCCTCACTCTCGGCCTACGACTTGGCTGCAGCTCCCTCTGCGGCCTTCAGGCCAATTTCTTCGTCAACTTCGTTCTCCCCTCCGAGTCCGTGTAGCCGTATTTTCGCGCATACATTTATATCCAGCTCCCTCCTTTCTATCCACGTCTGCCCTAACCAACCCCCCTCCATTACAGGCTCAGGGAAAATCGACACGCCTCTCCCTCTCAACGGGCGACCGCCCGCAATCGTATACGCAGGGACTGCCCTCCCTATCTCCGGCCATGTCATCGTCTCCCTCTTCTCCAATAATACAACGCACAAAAACGTACACCAACAGCTCGCGTACGCCCGCTAATGCGTCGTCATCCGGGCATAATGGTTTAGGAGGCATTCGTTACAGGCTTTGGAGGGGGTTTTGTTCCATTTCGAGGGAGTGAGAGGGTGGGTCAGATTCGTGTGGCGGAGGATGAGCTTGGATTCGAGGTTGAGATTGCGAACGAATCGACTGAGGCGGAGAGGGAGAAGGAGAAGAGGAGGGAAGCGGAAATGTGGAAAATTGCTCGGTGCTGGGAGGTCCTCTTGTCCCTTGGCCCACGAGCCTGGTCCACGCCAGGAACTCCGGAGACGGAAAAAGAATTCGCAGCACGTCGATTCACAGCCATTTGACTGAGGGCGGTGGTCTTAGAGGGACAGGCAGCAATTGTGGTTACCCACTGGGGCGACGAGGTTCCTTGGGTACGTGAGGAGGTTGGGCGTTTTAGGATTTGGGAGGGGATGGTGGCGTTGTTGGATGTCCATCACATTGTCTTCAATACCTCACCTATACCCCTCCACTGACTCCGGCCTGGCGCACTTGAGGTTCCTCCATGGTAGTCTTCTATCGTTCCGCCTGCGACAACACTACCCTACCACACCACCTCTGCACAATCACGTTCCCGAAACCCATAGAGGCGTCCCCATCCATTCGGGACGCCCTGTCGTATCGTATCGAACTCGACCAACCGTTGCCTCTCCTCCTTTTTCCTTTCAATGGCGCCGATTCGCCCTTCCTCCGCAAGACCTCTGAGCCAGTCCAGCATGTATGGATTCAACGTAATCCTCTGCACCGCTCGGTACACTCCAAGCTCCTTCTTTTCCGGGCGCCGATGCGAACAAAGAAACCGAATCTTCCACACCACAAGGAAGGTGGGGGGCGAGTCACCGTTGAGAGACAAGATCGAAGAGAAATCGGGTGAGCGATTGGGGTAGTGTCAACGTTCAGCGCTCAACGCTCAATAGTCACCCTCCTTCCTCCACACTGAGAAAGACTCGTTTGTCCATGATGTCCGCTCGTGGACATTGGACAACGACGAGAACCTCGCTTTCAAGAGCCCCGGTCCATCGCTTTTACAACGCGCTGAAACGAGGAGGGCTATGCACATGTGGCACCTAGATGGCCTTCCCACTGATCGACCTAATCCAGGAAGACGGCTAAAGGGACAACAAGGCAGTAGAGTTCTGCAGCGAGAATAGGTAGCGGGGAAGTCGAGATGGGGAGGTAGGAGGCAACACGCCGCTGCTAAAAATGGTTGGGACACAAAGAATCGCAGAGGAGGGTTGGTTTTTCATTGGCGGTCGGTTTGGGGAGGAGGCAGGAAAACGTGGGTGTCCGGGGAATACACTAGGATTTTTATAAAGCCAACTGTGTAAAACAGTCGATCACTACCACCGGTTTAGAATAGGAAAGAATATGAACTCACTTGACGTTCTAACCAACTTGACGGCCAAGACCAGGACTCGACGGAGCAGATATCGGCACTTGAACACGACCCGCTGAGCTACCGCGCAGCACCTCTATCCTTGAAATAGGTTTACAGGCATGAACACAGGTATTCAAACAAAGGCGAACTTACTTACATACCTCGAAATAGGGTCACACTGGAAGGGCAAAAACGAAGAAGAGGAGGAGTTGGAGAAGCCAAGGTACATAAAAATAGACCAAAACACGTGTTCACCTCGTGGCGTGATTGGGGGTCTCTAACATCTTGGGCGCTCTTCTTTCCTTCCTTCCCTCATCCTGAACCTATCCACCTCCAATATCTCAACATGAGCGGAGCGGGCGTTCTTGCGGGTTCTCACGACTTTATTGCTCGTGACAACATGTTCATTGACAACTCTGTGAGTAGAATGGTTATGATCTGGTGAACCAAACTGATAGTGTGAATCTCGGGCAGATGCACATCAATTATGGCAATAGGAAGACGTCCGATGGGGTCATTCCCCTCGTGCCGAATCCGAGCAATCGGTTCACAGGCCGCACACAAGTCATCGCCAAACTTGAGAGGCATTTTTCCAACACAAATGACTCAGCTCAGAGACGAAAGATCTTTCTGTTGTATGGAATGGGGGGTATTGGAAAGACTCAGATTTGCTTGAAGTTCATTGAGGAAATGTCTGGCTTGTGAGTATCATCAGAAAAGCAACCCTTATTTCTGAAATTTCAATTGCCTTCAGCTTCTCTTCTGTTTTCTGGATTGATGCTTCCTCAGTTGGCACCATCACTCAGGCACTCAAGGGTATCTGTAATCTTCCTGCAGCCCAGTCTAGTGGACTGGATGGCTCACCTGAATCTGCTCTTCACTGGATTGGCTTGCTGAAAGAGAACTATGTGATGGTCTTTGACAATGCTGATGTTCTATCACCTGCTGAGCTGGAGGGTTATCTTCCACCTGGAAGGGGGGGAAACATTCTGATAACTAGTCGCAACTCCACCATGAGGAATTTAACCTCACCTGAGAATTCTCTTGAAGTAGCTGAGATGGAAGAGAATGATTCTATTGAGTTACTTTTAAAAGCCAGTTACTTGGATCCATCTTCAATGGAGTTTCAAACTGAAGCTTGTGAGATTGTGAGGAAGCTCTCATACCTTCCTCTTGCTATTGATCAGGCTGGTGCTTACATTGCTTCTGGAGCCACCACTATTGGAAACTATCTTGCAAAATATTATGAGCATCAAAAAACATTATTATCTCATTCTGAATTTACTGGAGCTTCTAAGTATAACAGAACTGTCTATGAAACTTGGGAACTTTCATACAAAGAGATTCAACAAAGAACTAAATCTGGTGATTCTCATAAGACCAATGCAGCCAACAGTGCAATGCTCCTTCTGGAATTATTTCCTTTCTTCCATCATGAGGGAATTAGTGAGGAAATATTTTCTTATGCTGCTCTTCAAAGAGATGAAGAAACCTCTAACTCTGAATTGCCACTTGCCAGTTCTATACTGGATCGGAGACTGCTGCCTCTGAACAAGGCAGGTACTTGGGATGATGTACTTTTTGGAGAAGGCATTCGGGTATTGCTGTCCTTCTCCTTGATTAAGAAAGCACCATCTGATGGTGTGTATGCAATGCATCCACTTGTTCATGCCTGGGGAAGAGACAGAATGACTTTGGATGAGAAGGAAAGATGTTGCTTTATGGCATATGTTACTTTATCTTGTTCACTAAGATGGGAGGGAAGCCAACCATATAGATTTCACAGGGCCTTGGTAACACATGTAAGAGCAAATATGGAGTATTCCGGATCAGAAAGTGATCAGAAGGGTATCAGTTACTTAGATGATGCTTATGCCAAATTTGGAGAGCTGCTGCAACACCAAGGATACACAAAGGAAGCAGAAATCTTGCAGATTAAAGTTCTGGATACAAGGAATGAAATTCTTGGAGTAGAACACCCAAATATAATCAGTGCTATGGCACATATTGCATCAACAAATCGAGACCTGGGAAAATATACAGAAGCAGAGAAGCTGGAGATCCAAGTTCTGGATGCAAGAAACAGAATTCTGGGAGTGGAACACCCAGACACAATCAATGCCATGGGAGGTTTAGCAGAAACATATTATCTGCTGGGAAAATACAAAGAGGCAGAGAAACTGCAGATGCAAGTTCTGGATGCAAGGAACAGAATTCTTGGAGTGGAACACCCAGATACAATCTATGCCATGGGACATCTTGCAGCAACATATTATTGTCTGGGAAAATACACAGAGGCAGAGAAGCTGAAGATGCAAGTTCTGGATGCAAGAAACAGAATTCTTGGAGTGGAACACCCACAAACAATCAGAGCAATGGCAAATCTAGCAGTGACATATCAAAACTTGGGAAAATACACAGAGGCAGAGAAGCTGGAGATGCAAGTTCTGGATGCAAGGAACAGAATTCTTGGAGTGGAACACCCAGATACAATCAATGCCATTGCAAATCTAGCAGTAACATATCAAAACTTGGGAAAATACACAGAGGCAGAGAAGCTGGAGATGCAAGTTCTGGATGCAAGGAACAGAATTCTTGGAGTGGAACACCCAGATACAATCAATGCCATTGCAAATCTAGCAGCAACATATCGACACTTGGGAAAATACACAAAGGCAGAGAAGATGGAGATGCAAGTTCTGGATGCAAGTAATAGAATTCTTGGAGTTGAACACCCAGATACAATCTATGCCATGGGACATCTTGCAGCAACATATTATTGTCTGGGAAAATACACAGAGGCAGAGAAACTGCAGATGCAAGTTCTGGATGCAAGGAAAAGAATTCTTGGAGTGGAACACCCAGATACAATCAATGCCATTGCAAATCTAGCAACAACATATCAAAACTTGGGAAAATACACAGAGGCAGAGAAGCTGGAGATGCAAGTTCTGGATGCAAGGAACAGAATTCTTGGAGTGGAACACCCAGATACAATCAATGCCATTGCAAATCTAGCAGCAACATATCGACACTTGGGAAAATACACAAAGGCAGAGAAGATGGAGATGCAAGTTCTGGATGCAAGTAATAGAATTCTTGGAGTTGAACACCCAGATACAATCTATGCCATGGGACATCTTGCAGCAACATATTATTGTCTGGGAAAATACACAGAGGCAGAGAAACTGCAGATGCAAGTTCTGGATGCAAGGAAAAGAATTCTTGGAGTGGAACACCCAGATACAATCAATGCTATTGCAAATCTAGCAACAACATATCAACACTTGGGAAAATACACAGAGGCAGAGAAACTGCAGATGCAAGTTCTGGATGCAAGGAACAGAATTCTTGGAGTGGAACACCCAGATACAATCAATGCCATTGCAAATGTAGCAGCAATATATCGACACTTGGGAAAATACACAAAGGCAGAGAAGATGGAGATGCAAGTTCTGGATGCAAGTAATAGAATTCTTGGAGTTGAACACCCAGATACAATCTATGCCATGGGACATCTTGCAGCAACATATCAAGTCTGGGAAAATACACAGAGGCAGAGAAACTGCAGATGCAAGTTCTGGATGCAAGGAAAAGAATTCTTGGAGTGGAACACCCAGATACAATCAATGCAATGCAAATCTAGCAGCAACATATTATACTCTGGGAAAATACACAGAGGCAGAGAAACTGCAGATGCAAGTTCTGGATGCAAGGAACAGAATTCTTGGAGTGGAACACCCAGATACAATCAATGCCATTGCAAATCTAGCAGTAACATATCAAAACTTGGGAAAATACACAGAGGCAGAGAAGCTGGAGATGCAAGTTCTGGATGCAAGGAACAGAATTCTTGGAGTGGAACACACAGATACAATCAATGCCATTTCAAATCTAGCAGCAACATATCGATACTTGGGAAAATACACAGAGGCAGAGAAGCTGGAGACCCAAGCTCATAAATTAAAGAACAGAGTTCCTGCAGCAGAATCTCATACAATTCCTACCACAGCCAATGTCCAAGAAGCACAGGGGGTTCAAGTTGTTGAGGCAGGCACCATAAGTCATGGTGAACAAAACTTGCATTCAACACAGGTTGTTTTGAATCATCCAGTTCAAGCAGTGCTTCTGGATAATCCTGAGAAACAAGGTATGTTTTTTGGTAATTGTTGTTTGAACCCCCTCTGATGTCTTTATCCTCAGTCCATTGTCTTTCCAAACTTGCAAACAGAGTTTTAAAATTTAAATCCAAAATGTCACACTTGTTTCATAAAGGGAAAGATTTTGATGATGACTTTACAGGAACTAGTACTTAATCCACCTTCTATAGTGATTTGTTT